TTTCATTTTAATGATATTTTCCTTCACTAAGTAGAAGCTTTTTAATTTAATGCAATTCCATTGATTTCTTTTTGCTTTTGTTTCTTGGAGCACAGAAGACATCATGGGCAGTGAAAATACTGTGCATGATATTCTAATGATGATACATGTCAATATACATTTGTCCAACACCCACAGAACAGAAAACACCAGAGTGACCCCAAAGGAAACCATGGCTTTGGCGACTGTGATGTGCGGGTCCATCATTGGTAACACACGTGCCAGTCTGGTCTTAACACATGATTTGGACATGATGTGTGAAGAGGTTTATAAATTGAGCAGTGTAGTGAAATTGACTTTTGAAAGCGTATTTCATGCACATACCAGGACATTTACATCACACTCAGGGATACACATAGTTAAGTAAGTCATTCCCCTCCACCCCCCAACATCCCAGGCAGCCAATATCTGCTCAAAATCAGTTAGTGCTTTATCATTTCTCTTTTCCAAAAAAATGTATATCTATGCTTCTGTATGGACAATAGTGTTTGTTTTCCTGTTCAGTGCAGGAGTTCAGGACACAGAGGGGGGGAAACATTTGCATATCATGAATTTGATAAAGGACTGTATCTAGAATTTACAAAATAATGCTTAAAACTCAATGAGAAGAAAGAAATAACCCAATTTTAAAAGGGACAACAACAGTGTTGTAAATGAATGGTACCTCATTTGAAAAATGGAGAAAAGACTTTAACAGACACGTCACCAAGAAGAGATACAGACGACAAGAAAGAACATGAACAGATGCTCAGCATCACGGGTTACTAGGGAAAGACAAAAAGAACAACAGCGACACCATCATAACTGGTAGGGGCTGAAAAATGCAAACCCTGCACAGGTGCTGCCCAGGATGTGGACACAGGAGCCTCATCACTGCCGGCTGGAATGCAAAATAGCCAGTCACTGTGGAAGATGTTTGATAGTTTCTTTGAAAACCAAAAACCCTGACATACAGCACAGCGATCACTGCCCCAGCTAGTTACCAACTAATTGGAAATTTATATTTGCACAAAACCCTGCATGCATACAATTGTTTATAGCAGAACACCCATAAGTGTGAGCTGCACATAATGCTTCCTTCCAAAGACAACAGCATTTAAAAAAATGGAACAAAAAGAAGTTTGGCAGGAAGAAATCTGGGAAACACTGCCTTAGCCTGGTGTTGAATGTTAACACCATCAGCGATGAGTCAGGTGGACATGATGAGCACTGACGTGTTGAGTGAACAATGGCCCTGCACCCCTGTGGTCTGCTTCCCCAAAACCAGTCACACTCAAAAAAAAAAAAAAACCTAAATTGAGGTACTATGTTCCTGAGCACTGCCCCTTGATGGAGGCTAAGAGAAAAAATTAGGCCTCCCTGGTGGCGCAAGGGTTAAGACGTCACCAAGGAAGCTATCCTCAGCCACTGCAGCACAAATTCAATCCCCAACCAGGGAGGTACCCAGATGGCACAGCAGACCTCTCCTGAATCCCCACTACTCCCCTCAGCAGTGTATTTTAGTCAATCTGCGCATTCTTTTCCCCACTCTGTCTCTGGTGAATCCTCTCACCCCCCACCTCTGGCCTGTGCCCCAGTTCTTATGTGCATAAATATATAAATCATTTTTTAATCTTTTTTTAAAAAAGATTTATTTATTTATTTATTCAAGCACTGGGTACAGTCAGAAGTGTGGGAGGGTGAGAGAATTCACCAGAGCCAGAGTGGGGTACAGAACAGGCAAATTGACTGAAATACACTGCTGAGGGGAGCAGCGGGTGACAGGAGAGGTCTGCGCGCCATGTGGGACCCTCGCCGGCCGCCAGGGATCGAACCGACGCTGCAGAGACTGCGGGCAGCTTTGCAGCCCAATGCTCAACCACTGGGCCACAAGGGGATGCCAGTAAATATATAATTTTTTTTTTTTAAAAATAGAGTAAAAAATTAGGGTGGGGGGGTCACATGACCAGAAACTGAAGGTGGGGTAGAAGTGATTAACATAGTTATTAAACCAACTATAGAAATGAAAAATCTTAGGGCCAATGCTGTAGCAAGTATCAGATGCTATAGGACATATACAGACCAGAGCTGGGGTACGCAGATGGAGTCACTGCAGAGAATCGCCTGTTCTGACAAATCAGCCTAGTAACACCATAGAAGTCATTCATTTAAAGACAGGTAACAATTGCACAAAGGAATGAGCCCTCCCATCTAAAACACCACCTCAGCGCCCTTTCTGCCCTGGGAAGAGACAGCTCTGCTCCTAAGGCTGCCGCCTGGGCCTGCAGGCTTCTCCTAACACACCTGCCCTCTCCAGGGGCAGCTCTTCCTGCCTGCTTGTGTCTGTGCAAGCATCTTTCCTTTTGTGTCTGTGGGGTGGGGGCAAGGGGAGGAATGTGAGGGGCGGAGCACACACACCACGGAAAGGAGGACTTTGGTGAAAGTTCTCATCTAAGAGGTGACCCAAAAACCCCCATCTGTGAACCCACGACTTCTCCAAAACATAGCTCCTCACCAATGTCAATATTTCAAAAATGAGGAAAGTCTGAGAAACTGTCATCCAGGCAAACTGGATGGGATTATGGAGCATAAAATGAACATTAGCAAAAACTAATGAAAGTGCGGCGTTTACTAATTACGTCAACACTGCCTCGTTAGTCGTAAAAAAAAAAAAAAAAAACTTTACTCATGTAGAATGTTAACAAAATAGAAATGCTGTGGGATAAACAAGCAAATTTTCTGTAAGTCTCACAGTAGTCTTTAAATGTTTTTTTTTTTTAAGATTTATCTATTTATGCATACAAGAGCTGGGGTACAGACCAGAGGTGTGGGGGATGAGAGGATTCACCAGAGACAGAGTGGGGAATAGAACAAGAACAGGCAGACTGACTGAAATAACTGCTGAGGGGAGCAGTGGGCGAGTCAGGACAGGTCTGATGCACCGTGTGGGTATCTCCCTGGCTGAGGATCTTATTTGTGCTGCAGAGGCTGCAGGTAGCTTCATAGGTTGCTTCTTAACCCTCTGCGCCACCAGGGAAGCCCTAAATATTATCTTTTCTAATGTCCTCCAATTTTACAGGTTGTAGAAGGAAAAATCTGTCTAGTGTCCAGTTTTCCTAGGTATTCTGAGGAGAAAAGATGGAAACCTCACAATTCGGGCAGGGCTCTGGAGTCTCCTCTCCTCTGAGCCTTGGTTTTCTTGCTCCACACAGAGTATCTCAGCCCCCAGGACGCGGACCTCCAGGACCCCCAACTCTGAGAATTCTTTAGAATTCTGTGTGTGCATTAGGTCTTTTCCAGACTCCAGAACAGCGCGGCAGCGCCCCCGTGTGGCCACAGGGCTGAGCACAGGAGCCCAGAGCTGTCCTTTCTCCTGCTCAGCCAGGCCCTCCCCAGGCTCCCTGGGCTCCCAGCGGCAGGACAGGGATCTACACACAAGGGGGTACCCAAGTATGTGTCAGTTTATCCTTATTTTTAGTCTCCAGTGGTCTCCAGGGCGTAACAACTGGTTCCTAGGTTCTGGGAAAATCCCCAATATATAGGTTGCCTCAGTCTCTTGGGATGGAAACTTAGATCCCAGGGTCCCTGTAATTTGTTTCTGCTTCTGCTTCCAAGGACAAAAGCCCCTCCTCCTGAGAATCACCTCACATTCTCCATCCTTTGGAGGAGAGGAGGGGCCTAGGAGAGCCCCAGGGCACTGGCTAGGAAGATGGGGAGACTCCTGGAAAAGAGAGCAGAGGATGGAAATGGGGACTTTAGGGGACAGGGATGGAAAGGGGTGCAGTGGGGAGCCAGAGAGGACCGGACAGGGAAGGGGCAGCATAGGGGACACTGTGGGGGGAAGGTCTGTGTGGGTGACTCAGTCCCTCACTAGGGGCTGAAGCGTCTGTCTCACCTGGGGGGATGTAGCAGTGCTGGCCTGTGACTGCCCAGGGAACTACGCACATCCGGGGCCTTGCCTGTCCTTGCAGAACTGGTGTCACCCACACACATTCACATGCTGGTGATGGAGAGGACTGTATACAGGGGGGTCCCCAGGGGAGGGTCTGGGTTCCCTGTCCCACCCAAGGAGGGTGGAGCTGAGCAGGGAGAAGCAGCAGCTGGAGAGGAGACTGGAGAAAGAAGGAAGCAGGATGAGCCAGAAGGAGACCTGGAGGAGGCACATGGAGCAGAGACACACGTGAAGAACTTGCACTTACTTCTCGGCCTTGGACTGGGTGGCACAGATGTGGTTGAGAGACCCGTGGGAAGGTTACAGTGGCAGCTTCTATCTTGATTTTGCTCTTTTCCTTCCAGACTTGTCAGCCCCGTCCATCCCTTTTCTATAGGTCCCTGCCAGGAGGTGCTTTAGGTGGCAGGCATTCAGAACCTGCTTGGGCCAACCCTGTTTGGTTGAACATTTACCCACAAGGGAACAGGTGACTTTGAATGTTTGATTTGGAGACTTTATTCTTTCCTTTTTCTTTGTTGCACACTAATTGTATTAAAGTTCCTTTCCATTAAAGGTCTTACATGTTTTGTCTTGATGCAGCAGATGGCAGAGTATGGAGGAGATAGATGGTTAAGGGGTGTTCTTAACCCCTCCTTACCCAGATCATCCCCCTCAGTTCCCCAATGCTGGGGTGTCAGGGAGATTCAGGGGGCCAAGAGGAGGGCAGAGCAAGGTCTGAGCCTCCCTGGAGGACCAGCCCCGGGGGCTGATTCTGGGGCCCAAAGCCTCCAGTCCTTGTAGGCGGGTCAGAGTCAGCCCCACTCACAGCTCCAGGCCACTGACAGCCCCTCTGTGCTATGACCCTACAGACACCGCTCTGGGATAGCGTGAAGAAAAAGAAATTAACAGAAAAATTAAATGGAATCTAAAAAAGGTAGAAATAATTTTTAAAACATGTTTATTTTGAAAGATACTTCAAGGGACATGGAATCCTTGTCAAATAGCTCATTGTTATATCGACCTTGAGTGTCACGGAGTCCTTTTTATCACGACCTTGACAGTCATTGAGTTCCTCTCGTGCACCTGTTTATTGTGAGAAAACAGCCACTGATCAATTTATTGCCTTAATTTATTAATGGTTTGTACAAAATCACTTCCTACTTTGTACCTAAAACAAAGATCTGGCATCTGGCTATGCATTCCACCCACCAGACAACTCTGCCTGGCCTCTAGAGGAGGCGTGAGTCCCTTGGGACAGGCTGAACTAGAACCAGGGAACCAAAAATGTTCTGGCAGTTTCCCAGCGAAATCAGACAGCACTCAGAGAGGTGGAGAGAGAGATTTAATTGTCACACCGGTTGGCTCAGCGGGATCGCTCCCCAAAGGGCTGAGCTCCCAGGAACAAGAATGGCAAGGCTTTCCTTGCTAGCCTATTTATCATAGCATAAGAGTTCTTTATTGTTCAGGAAGGGGGTTCAAAGGTGTCATGGCTACCACCTCAGACGAGCAGTGCAGTACACCCAGGACTTCTCCATTCCAGCAAGCAGCAGAACCAAAGCGGTAGATTCCCCCAAGCAGCAGATTTGGGAAAGCAACAGAAACTAAGCATCAGACTCCCCCAAGCAGCAGGATTGGGAAATGTCCTGCTTCAGGTTATCATTGTGTTTTAATTCAGGTGATCGTGAATGGATCGTGAAGGTGTGGTCCACATACACAGTGGAATACTACTCAGTGATCAAAAACAGAAACTCATGCCAATTGGGAAATATGGATGGGGTAGGAAGGAATAATAAGCTTAATAAGTCAAGAGGAAAAAATAAATATCATATGGTTTCCCTTATATGTGGGATATACAGAAATCAAACAGAGGGTCAGAATAAAGACAAAACTTGCAGCCTGATCATAGATCTGAGGCACACAGCAGGGGAAAGGGAGAGAGATGGTTCCAAACAAGGGAGGAAAAAGCACAAGAGACTGTAGTGATGGATCATGGGTGTTATGGTAGTGAGAGAACTACGAGGACTATACCTGAGAGAGAAATCAAATATTATACAAAATTAAAAATGATGTAAGAGAAAAAATAGATAGATTGAATAAAAAAATTTACATCAATCACTGACAGCAGGAAAACAAATAAAATTAAATAAAGCAGATGATTCTGAAGTTACAAAATGGGGATGAGAGAAATCCTGTAACATTCAGTCCCACACAAGGCAGAGCTCTCATTCTATGATGGAAAATAATTTTGAAGAAATGTGGGTGAGTTACATTAAGTGATAACATTCTCAATAGCCCACTGCACCCTAAGACTGTCCCACACACAGCTCCCCACAACCTGGCCCCGTCCTCTGGGGTATCCGAGGGGGTGAGAGACATCCCAGAGTCCTGGGTCCTGTTGCTGCCTGAGGAGGCACAGAAGAGACCTGGTCAGAGCCCAAAGATGAGACCCTCAGAGGAACTGATGAGGGAGACTCTCCCTAGAGTTCCCTCTACACTGTCCTCAGGGGCTCAGGACCCAACCCCTGAACCACACTTACCTGCACCCTGACTGTAGCTGATGGCTGTCCCCTGTGTGAAGAAACATCATGTGAGACAAGGGAGGAGTCAGCCCATGGAGCCCAAAAGGAATCCCCAAATGTGGGTCACAGGGAAGTTTCTAGAACTGTGACTGAAGACCCAGGTCAGGACTGGGATATATGAAGAATGGATATGAAAGGGAATTGGAGTCTTTCCATAGCAGTGTCCTTCCCCTATGACATTACCTGGGAAACAGATCCCCATCACCACAGTTATAAGGTGAACAATTGGTGATTCATTTTCATAAGTGCTTTACAAAGAGTGAGTGTTCACAATCAACTCCAGACTGGGCAACACATGTGTGTGGATCATACTCCCTACTAACCAGGAAGGGCAAGTTCTCCCTGGGACATGGAAGCCCCCAGTGGACAAGATCCCCCACTCCCTTCCCTACCTGAGTTCTTCTTCCTCCACCACGCAGCTGCAGCCACCGCAGCTCCAGTAAGCACAGCTCCAAGGAGAACCAAGCCATCAGTGATGCCCGCGGTGGGGTTGGAGGGCTGAGGAGTGGGCACTGGAAGGGATAGAAGGATCATATCCTTAGCCCCAAGCCGAATCCTGACCCTCTGAAGGTCTCCAAAAGGGCTCCTGATGCCCCTGAGAAACTCAGTGCCCACGTCACCCTCCTTACCCCATCTCAGGACTTGGGGCTCCAGCAGCCCCTTATGCTGCACATGGCATGTGTATCTCTGCTCCTTTCCAGAAGGCACCTCCACTGTGATCCACTTCTGGAAGGTTCCGTCCCCCCCAGGCCTGGTCTCCACCAGCTCCGTGCCCTGGGTCAGGTTCTCCCCATCTCGCTGCCAGGTCAGGGTGATGTCCGCAGGGTAGAAGCCCAGGGCCCAGCACCTCAGGGTGACCTCACGGTCAGAGGTAGGATGGTGGGTCACCTGTGTCTTTGGGGGATCTGAGGAGAAGGGACAAAAATTTCACACTTTGGGTTTTCCCTTCCTGGACACTGAAGCAGCCTCACTGACCATCCTCTGAGTGGACATGACAATTGGTTTGGAGGGAGGAAGCACAAAGCCCAGAAGCCAGCCTGGTCTGGAGAATCTGGGATAATCAGGTGAGAGCCCAGGGTAGGAGGATGCAGGTCTCTAAGGAGAACACAGACTTTTGCTCCTGACCTGGGTGGAGGGTGAATGACACAGAAAGGCAGGAGTCAGATCCAGAAATGTTCTCAGACCAAAAACAAGACCTTGAAAGAGAAACTCATGGTTCCCAGGATGGCTGCTGGGTCACTAGGATCCAGGGAGAGTTATTTCAGGATGGCCTCCTCCCTCAGGAGAGACTGGATTCCTTAACTGTCCAGAAAAGTGGTGTCTTCTGGGCGAGTCTCTCTCTAGCACAGAACATGAAACCCAGGGGATTCTCCCTCTCTGCCCAGAAAGCAGGTGCTGTTCTGCCCATTATTCCATTTTCCCTGCGGGGGGCCAGGAGAGGGGAGGTCCAAGGCCTTGTGGCCCCTCTTACCTGTGCGCTGCAGCACCTCCTTCCCCAAAACCAGCAGTCTGCGGAGCCACGGGAGGCACCTGCTCTGCAAACTGTGCCTGACACGCTCGGCCCTCCCCTGCGCCTCCCTTGCACGCTGGGTGATCTGAGCCCCCGAGTCCGCGGGGGTCCAGGAGCGCAGGTCCTCGCTCAGGGAGATGAAATCCGCGCCGTCGTAGGCGAACTTTTCATAACCGCCGCGGAGGTTCAAGTCTGGCCCCACTTCACAACCACACATGCTCTGGAGGGTGTGAGACCCTGCGCCCCGCCCATCGGTCAGCCTGGGGGTCACCCCACCCCCAACACACACACCCTCACCCTGAATAAACCTAAACTGAAATGAAGGGCCAGCAGGAATCTCCCTTCCCTGGGGAGGGGCCTGGCAGATCCACCAGCTTCGAGGGGTCAGTGGACCCTGACACTCGGGACACCCCGGCCTTAGGGTGGGAATGGGGGTGACCTGACCCTGGCCCCGCCCCGCGAAGCTCACCGTCCTCGCTCTGGTTGTAGCGGCCGCGCAGGTCCCTCAGGAGCGCTTGGAACCACTGTGCGTTGTCCCTTTGGTTCTGAGTCTCCTCGTCCAGGTCCTGCTGCCCCACCTGCCCCGCCCAGGGCGCCCGCGGCTCCACACTCTGGCCCCGAGAGTCGCTGTCAAACCGCCTGAACTGCGTGTCATCCACGTAGCCCACGGCGATGAAGCGGGGCTCCCCGGGGCCGGGCCGGGACATCGCTGTGTAGAAAAGCCTCAGGGAGTGGGGGCCTGGGGGCGGGAGGGGAGACCCGGGCTGACCCTCCTCTCAGCGCGGGCCCAGGGCCCAGGGATATGGGCCTGGAGGGGAAAGGGGCGGGGCCGTGAGAGTGAAAAGGGGGGTGGGCCAAGAAGGGCCCAGACTCAGGGGACCGAGCACTCAGGGGAGGCGGGAGGGCAGAAGGGGCCAGAACACAAGGGGCCTGAAGGGGGAACAAGAGGTTGGGAGGAGATGAGCCTTTCCTGGGGTCCTGCACCCGCAGGGGGCTCCTTGCTCCTCCCTCCTGGAGCAACAGTGTCCAGCTGGACACGCACTCACCCGCCCGGGTCTCCATCAGGGCCAGGGGCCCCCAGAGCAGCAGCAGGAGGGTGAGGGGCATCACACCCCGTCCAGGGGCCTGGGGAGAAGGAGTCCAGGGGAGTCCTTGGAGAATTTGTAACTGGAGCAGGATGATGCTGATTGTCCTCCCTGGAAACCCCTAGGAAATGGGGAGAGAGAATGGGGGTGAGTGTGGGGTCATCAAGGCTGCACCACCCCACAGAGCCTGTGAGAGGGAGACATGATGCTGTAACAGGGTGACATCCACAAACAGGGGCGGCTCCAAATTCCCTTCCCCACCTTAGGGAGGAGTGGATTTGGGCTGGGAGAAGCAGCAGCCTGGAGGAATGAAGAAACTAGGACTATTTTCAGATAATTGTGAATATTGATACTAAATTAAAACTGTACAGATGGTAGTTTCTCTAAGGTTATTAGCTAAGTGAAACCTGAAATAATATCATGTAATATTTCATATTCTGTTACATTTCCATAGACCTCTCTTGTATGTTGATTGGACCTTGTGGTAATGTATGGTTTTTTAAGGTGATACATTGTTTCACTAAGTTACATAGATCTTCAGTGTTAATTACCCTGGAATCAAGTCATCAAAAAATGTTTTATTTTTTAAATCACAAATCCCAAAAGAAAATTCATACTATAAATTGTCAAGTAGTGATGCACTCAATTTTTCATAATTCTGGTTTTCTTTGAGAGCTTATATTTTATCAGGCAGAGTTACTGTCATTTGTCATTGTTGATTTACTTTAAGAAACAGACATTCATTTTGAGGAACGTGTCTGCTAATTACCTAAATTTAAATGACCTTAGTATTGGTGTTTCATCCCTCAGGTAAGATTGGTGTTGCCCACAAATAAAAAGAGTCTAATTCATTCCATACAAATATTTTCCTTGGACTCAGTGCTTGGAATGCCACAGAAGTGCTCTGTGTGTCCTTCCAGGTCAGCACATCAGATATTTGAAAATGTGGAGTTGAGGATGACGCAATAATGAAGGTAACTTTTGAAGTTTTTTTCAGGACATTTTCAGTTGAGACTGGCTTTGATTTTTGTTCCTGCAAGTAAATGCTGGTGAAGAATTATTCTTCTGCAGTGGTACTATAAGCTCCACTCTTACTAATTTTTACCTCAGCAAATGCCAAAATAGTGAAAAGACAATTGTGAATTGTGTCTAAGTGATGTTTGAAACTGGTTTTACCTCATGGATCCCATGAAAGATTCTGGGTGACTTCAAGGGCTCCACAGACCACACTTTGGTGCTTTCTCAGTCAACCAGGGAGCATCTCCGTGTTCTCTGCCTTTGCCTCCCCTTCACTTCCCAGCATCCCTCTCCCTGACTGGCTCCTGCCTCCCCAAGCTGCCTCCCCTGCAGATACAATGGGGAGCAGAGAGAGGCCCCTGGAGACGTGGAGCTTGTACTGTCAGGAGAGATGGCCACTGAGTGAAGGAGATAAAGACACGTGTAACCCCGACCTAAGACCCGTGCTGGGAGGAAGGAGCATGTTTATTGTGAAAGCAGAGAAGCAGGAGTGCTAACAGGTCCGACCACTACTATCAATAGTATCAAAAGTATCAAAAAATCAGATGGTATCAGTAGTATCAAAAAATATATATATTAAAAACAAATTAAGCTTAAGGAAAAGATTTTATCTCTTCCCATAACTGTCACTTCTGACCCGGGTACACGTGCTCTGTCCCCATAGACCAGCCTGTCTCCTCTTCCCTCAACTTCCCTCAACACTCCACGTCCTGCCCCAGGACCCAGCCATATTGAGGAGACCTGTAGCCTAATCTACCTCCTGGTGCCATCCTCACGCTCATCTGCTCTTCCCTCATTTATTATGCTCTGAAGGACAGGCCTCTCCCAGGTGTTCAGAAAGGTGTCCCCCAAGGATGGTTTAACATCCGAAAATCAATCAACGTTATCCAACACATCAACAAAAAGAAATATAAAAACCATATGATAATATCAATAGATGCTGAGAAAGCTTTCGACAAAGTGCAACACCCATTCATGATAAAGCCCTTGAAATTCTTGGATACAAGGCATACTCCTCAATAAAGGCCATCTATGACAAGCCAACAGCCAGTATCATTCTCAATGGTGAAAAGCTGAAAGTTCCTTAAGATCTGGAACAGACAAGGATGTCCACTCCACCACTGCTTTTCATATAATACTGGAAGTCCTAGCCAGGCAATAAGACAAGAGAAAGACATCCAAGGAATCCAAATAGGAAAGAAGAAGTCAAACTATCACTATTTGCAGACGATATGATATTATACATAGAGACCCAAAACTCCACAGAAAGCTAATTCAACTCATCAATCAGTTCAGTAAGTGGCAGGATACAAAATCAACACGCAAAAGTCAGTAGCCTTCCTATACACAAACAAAAATCTGAAGAAGAAGAAATCAAAAAAAACCATCCCTTTCGTTATTGAAACAAAAAAATCAAATATTTGGGAATAAATCTAACAAAAGAGGTAAGGACCTATACAAAGAAACTATAAAACACTGTTAAAAGAAATAGAAGAAGACACAAAGAAATGGAGAGATATCCCTGCTCATGATTGGAAGAATAAACATTATTAAAATGGCCATCCTTCCAAAAGCAATATACAGATTCAATGCTATTCCATCAAAATTTCAATGTCATTCTCAAAGAAATAGAACAATTATGATGAAATTCATATGGAATCACAAAAAACCCCGAATAGCCAAAGCTCTCCTGAAAAAAAAAGAAGGGAATGGAGGCATCACACTCCCAGACTTCAAACTATACTACAAAGCCATAATCATCAAAACTGCATGGTATTGGAACAAGAACAGACATACAGACCAATGGAATCGAATAGAAAATCCAGAGATAAACCCACAGATTTATGGTCAACTAATCTTCGACAAAGGAGCAAAGACTATGCATTGGAGCAAAGAAAGTTTGTTCAATAAATGGTGCTGGGAAAACTGGGTCGCTACATGCAAAAGAATGAAGCTTGACCACTACCTCACACCATACACAAAAATCAACTCAAAATGGATTAAAGAATTAGACATAAGACCTGAAACCATAAAATACATAGAAGGAAATATAGGCGAAACACTACGTGATTTGCACATCAAAGACATCTTTACAGACACATCACCCAAAGCAGTGATAGTGAAGGCGAAGATAAACAGCTGGGACTACATCAAATTAAAGAGCTTCTGCACAGTAAAAGAGACAATAACAAAAACAAAAGAAACCCCACCAACTGGGAGAACATTTTTGCACCCAACACTAATGATAAAGGACTGATCACAAAAATCTGCAAAGAGCTGATGAGACTCAACAACAACAAAGAAAATAATCCAGTCAAAAAATGGGCAGAAGAGCTAAAAAGAAACTTCTCTGAAGAGGAAATGCAAATGGCCAACAGGCATATGAAAAAATGTTCAACATCACTTGTCATCAGGGAAATGCAAATCAAAACTACCATGAGATACCATCTTACACAGTGAGAATGGCACATATTAAAAAAAACTAGCAAACAAAAATGTTGGCGAGGGTGTGGAGAAAAAGGAACTCTCTGCACTGTTGGTGGGAGTGCAAACTGGTCCAACCACTGTGGAAAGCTGTGTGGAGATTTCTGGACCTACTAAACATAGAGCTTCCATATGATCCAGCAATTCCACTCCTAGGTATTTACCCAAAGGACACAGAAACATCAATTCCAAAGAACACCTGCACCCCTATGTTTATAGCAGCACTGTCTACAATAGCTAAGCTTTGGAAACAACCCAAATGCCCAAAAATCGATGACTGGATCAAGAAAATGTGGTACATATATACCATGGAATATTACTCAGCATTCAAAAAAGATAAACACATGCAATTTGCAGCAACATGGATGGCGCTGGAAGGGATCATGCTCAGCGAAATAAGCCAGAAAGAAAAAGAAAAATACCAGATGGTCTCACTCATAGCAGGAATCTAGAAAACTTAAATAAGGGACAGGAAAATGAATAACTATAAGAAGTGAAAATCAAAATCAACAAAAAACTATGAACCAGAGACACTTTTTGGGGGTGAGGGGCGGAGGGGAGGGATTGGGGTCAGAATGGGGGGGCTGCAATTGTATGGGAATAAAAAATAAAATTTATTATTAAAAAAAAAAAAAAAAAAAAAAGGTGTCCCCCAGACAGCCCACCTTGGCATATGAATTATTTCCATCTGAGGTTCATCAGGGGTTCATCTTAAGAAACGATTACACTTCTAGAACTACCTAGTATGAAAAGGGTGGTCTAACCCAAAATTAGGGCTATTACCAGAAACGAGCTTTGTATCCAAGAAACCTACTTATATGTCAGGGCAAACATAGAATACCTGATCTTTGTCAAGAGTTACCCTGTCCTTGCCATGTGACCCCCTCCTCTCTCCTGGGGTGCCAGGTAATGTCTCAGGAGATTTCCTGCACGGATTTCAGACACTTATTTCGATGTAGATTCCCTATGCATTATAGGTAAATTTGGTAACTTTCTAGCACTAAAAAAAAGGAAAGAGAAAAAAAAGATGTTATAAAATTTCAGGGGCTCAGAATAAGAGTTCTTGAAAATTAGAGATTTAATCATAGAAATGAATAAATGAGTAGATGAACTGGAATACTAAAGTCTCACTCCCACTAAATAATGTAAATGGAAAGGAAATGATAAGCAGAGAGAAGACCTACAAGAAACTGAGTCTCTCAACCAGGAGATTCCAACTAGTTAATAATACAAGCGTCTAAAAGAATGGAGAATGGAAATGATGAAAAAATTTAAGAAAATCCCTGAGCACTCACAGATAAAATGTGCACGCTGAGTGTCCTCCCCGGGTTCCTCCTACAGAGGAAGAGCAGCCCCACACCATGACCCGCCCCAGGAACTTTCAGAAAGAGGCTGGAGAAGGACAGACCTTGGGGCCCTCAAGAGACAACTCAGGCCCGGAGGCCAGAAGACCCTGGAGCCAGGCCTGCCCAGTCCTCAGGGGAATTCAGCCAAGACCCCATGTCAGACCCAGGTGAGGGAGG